GTGTTCGATCACGGCCCGAACAGTATCGCGTTGCAACATCTCCTCTCGGGGCTGCGCTTTTTTCGGTCGTTCGCTGCAGAACGAAGCCGGTAGAGAGACTTGTGAAAATGGTAGCCACGAAAACGCGAGGCGGTCTCTCGAGGGAACGTGGGCAGCAGGAGGAGGAGGAGGTTGCGCAGCGAGGATTCGCAGTTGATCCACTTCGCTATTTCTCCCGCTTTTTAAAATTTTAAATTACTACCTTCAGACTGCAGTAATTTGGCTTCTATCCTGAATTGTGGATACTCTGATTCGGTTTTCAAGCGAAATCAGTTTACCGATATTAATCGATTCATCTGGTTAAAATTTTCTAAGCTGTGATCGAAATTTAATTATTTCACGTCAGTTTTAATCGACTTTGTAAATAAATTCAAGAGTAGTATATATATATATATAGTTATCGAGATTAAGGGAGTTAATAATATCAAACTTTCTCTTTGATGTGGATAAAAAATAATAATTATACATTCGTTCATACATGCGTTTCTGTTTCCAAATATTTAGTTGAAAATTCTTTTAAAATTCCTCTAAAATTTTATTACATTTATTTCACGCGGTTTTATTCCATTTAAATTCACTCACTCGTTAAATCAACAATCAAATATGCACTAGGGGCGGAACGAGCAGAATCCGTTAGAAATAATTCAATTTATCCACATCTCTTCCAATTACGAGACAATGCACAACCGGTGCATCACGTATATTACATTCCTCATACACCTCTTGACTGTCTACATTTAATTTCACTCACAGGGCTGCAAACCCTTCGCTCGTCTTCCTGCGCCAATTCCAACCTACATACCTCATCGTCAATACGTCGTGTTCAATTCTTGCAGCATTCTGTGGAGGAAGAGGATAAGCGACGTGGATAAGTGCAAAGCTTTCCCATTCCTCCGGCCACAATTACGTCAAAATTATATCCATCATCAATTGCCAACCGATCATGCGGCGATTGCTAAATTAATTCGATGAACACGAGGCACGTGGACGAACACGACACTTTCACGCTCGTGTTTCGTGTACAGAAGGCGCGCATATGTCGGGAGAAACCACCCCTTCGGGGTAAATCGTTGCTCATTGCTCGATCAGCTCGTCCCCCTCCTTGTAGTCGTTGGCCGTGATAAAAATGAGCGAATGCGAGCAAAAGTTTGGGAAAACAACGTTTACGGGACAAGTTGCAAGTATTTACGAGCGAGTCGGGAGAGCACGAGCTCGGCAGAAGTCGGCAGGTGCTCATGGCAAAAGGTGGCGTCCCGAGACAGCCTTGAAAGAGCAACGGGTCGTTGCTTTCGGCAAACGATGAGAAACAAAATTAGTCGCTTTTGCCGAAGGATTGGTGAGAAAGCCGTAGAAATTTCTTCTTTTCTTTTTTCTTTTCACCATAAATTTGAATGACCGGCGATTTGAAAACGATTTTGAAAAACCTTGAGATTTTCGCTATTTTCTCTAATATATCCTTACTTTAAGTAATATATAATCTTATTTAAGTTTCAAGGAATAAATTTTAGGGATTTTAAGGATAATGGTTTGGCTTGTTCGGTATCCAAGCAATTGTGTGCAGATTTCTTTTTTTTTTTTTTTTTTTCTTTTTTTTTTGTTTTTCTTGTTAG